TAGGGAGCAGGGACTTGGAACAAAATTCAGTTTGCTTACCTTAAAATGCATTTGTTGACTTTCCACCTAGCTTGTAAGACCTCCTTTCTTTGCCTCCAGTTGCAGTACTACCTTCCTTTAAATTTTCCACTTCAAAGTTCATCATGGATGGTGATATTGCTGCCCCTCATTGTTGACAATGGCAATGGAGTGTGCAAAGCTGGCTTTCAGGAGACCATGCCCTTCAGACTGCCTTCCCTTTTATTGCTGGGAGTCCCAGACACTAACATGTGATAGAGGGTATCCAGGAGGACTGCTGTGTGGAGGATGAAGCCCAGAGCAAGAGAGTTATTCTGACCTTGAGCTACCCCACTGAACATGGTATTTTCATCAAGATGGACACCACGGAGGTCTAGCACCACATTTTCTACAGTGAGCTCCATGTGGCTCCTGTGATCACCCTTTGTTACTCACAGATGCTCCCTTGAATTCCAAAGCAAGCAGAGAAAAGATAACATTCATCACATCCTGGGCTTTCAACACCCCAACCATGTATGTTGTCATCTAGACTTTGTGTGCCTCTGATCATGCCACGCTAGTGATGGTGTGAACCACGCTGTACCCAGCTATGAAGGTGATGGCTCTTCTTCTGCCATCCTTTATTATCTGGATCTAGCTGGCTATGACATGTTAGAGAGCATACCTCCTGAAGATGCCAATGGACAGAGGCACCACTTCGCCCTCCAAGCTGAGAGACAGAGAGTGACTGTGAGATATCAATTTATAAAAGCTATTTACCTCACGCTGATTTTGAGCCTGGCATGGCCCTGCAATGTCTGCAAGCTTCTTGATTGTCACATTTTCTGCACTGGCAGTGAGTGGTCCCAGTGCCTAGACACTCTTTTCCAACTATGAGATTCTATGGTGTCCATGAAATCCCCTTCTACTCAATTGTGAAGTGCAATATTTACATCCACCAGGATGTAAATCCTGATTTGTCTGGTGGTACCACCATGTATCAAGGTTGCAGTATGGAGGACATTAGAGCCCTAGCACAAAGTCAGGACCATTGATTGGCCCCACATGAGAACAAGTCCTCTGTCTGGGCCAGAGGTGCTATCCTGGCCTCTCTGTCCACCTTCCAGCAGATGTGGAGGAGCCAACAGGAATATGGGGAATCTGGGCTCTCCACAATCCACCAAATGCTTCTAAATGGACTTTTTTGTCAAAGGGTGTGACGTGATAATTACCCAAAATGAGATTGCCATGTTTTTATTTGTGTGTGCTTAACTCAGGGTTCAAAAACTGGAATGTAAAGGTGATGAGCAGGTTAACATAACCAGAGTTCTTCAGTATATCTTCAGGACTCTGTCCATTTTTAAATTATTTATTGTCATTTCATATATGTGTGTATGTATACATATATATGTATGTATTATTGTGTGTATGTATATGTGTATGTGTATATACATATATAATTGTATATATACTGTATATGTAATAGTCATTTATTGTATAATGTCATTTATTATGCATGTATATATACATATGTATAATTGTATATTGTGTATATGTGTATAAGTCATTGATTATATAATGCATTAGTACAGAGAGTTACTTGCCTCCATGAAGCCTGCCCTGCTCTACAAAGGGGAAGAAGGTAGTAGGATTGCTCACATGTAAATTTTACAGTTATTTTAAAAAACCAAAAACATTTTATATCAACCACCTTAAATTTTTTTCTCTTAAAAAAATTGTCAGAACCATAATGCCCTCCTCCTTTCTCTCCCTGTCCCCCAACATAGATGTGAATGAAGTCTTTTTATAATCTCAGCAGGAGTTCAATGAAACTGTCGCCAGTGCGTGGGGGAGGGGAGGAGCTTTACCTGTACACTGATTTGAGACCAGTTCAAATAAAAATGCAGATGTTACAGGAAAAAAATGATTCTGCTTATTATGGTTCAGGGTAATAAACTATAAAGCTGCCCACTTAAAATTAGTGCTACAGTTTTACATATATAGATATATACATTTATATATCTATATATGTGTGTGCAATAGAGGATAGATGTGTGTATATACATATGTGTATATATGTACACTGTGTAGAAACATAAATACATCTATATGAGCCATTTACACAGTAAAAAGAGTGTTGGCCTCAGAACCAGGACGACCTGAGTTCAAAATTCCACCTCTGACACATGATGGCTATGTAACCCCTGGGAAAATCACAACTTCTTCAAGCTCTAGGCATCTCTCTAACATTTTAAGCTGCAGAAAAGGTTCCAACCTGTGTCACTAGAGGACATTTCCTTGAATTTCCTCATTTTGAAGTTATCAATGATATCACAGGTCTAATCTCTAAGCTATGTGTTAGTGTATGAAGTGGTTTACATATTTATATATGTTTATATATGTGTATAATGCATGTATTTATATCAGTTATTCCTAAAATATCACATTATCTGACTGTTTTTAAATCTATATTGGTTACAACAGTCTAACAAGGATTCAAGTGGATACATCTCAATTTTAACTCTGGTCTTCCCTTGCAACGGTTATATGCAAACACTGGATATCTGTGACCAGATGCAATTCTATTAAACATTATCATATTCCAGGGATCATTTCCTCTTGCTGCTTCTTAAGATTCTCCTGGGAATTGTAGGATGAAAGTCAACTCTGCTTTTCTGATTAAAAAAGATTAGGAAGTTGGGCTAAGTAATCTCCAAGGCACCTTCTAGCTGTAAATGGTCCTATTACAGATTCTATCAAAGATCAAAGGTTGGTTTGTGACCTATGACTTAATCCTGCCTTAGTCTAATTTACAGCTTAGTAAATACACATATCCACCTCTATGTTTTGGGAAAATATAGCAATTCTGTCTTTAGAATGAAAAATTAACAGAGAGACAGAGATACAGAACATAAACAGATATAAACATACACACAGAGATACAGAAGATAAACTGATAGAAACATACATACAGAGATAGTTATTTATATATGAATATGTTGTCTCTCCAGATAGATTATCACCTTGATGACAAAGACTTTCATTTTGGTCATTTTATTCCTAGAATGTAGCATAATCTGAGTATATAGTGGTTGCTTATACCTGGCACATTAGGCATTTAATACCTACTTGTTGAATATACTTTGCTTATCACGTGACAAGCACTATGCTAATTCTGGGGATACAAAGGAAGACAAAAAACAGTCTGCCCTCAAAAAGTTTACACTCTAATGGGAGAGACAACTTGTGAATAATGACTGGGTGCATACAAAACACATACAGAGTGGATAGAAGGCAGTCTGGGAGGGAAAGGCCTCCTGCAGAAAGTGAGATTTGAGCTGAATCTTGAAAGAAGTGTGGAAGATGAAAAGGCAGAGGGAAGGGGGGCAGAACGTCTCTGGTGTGGAAGACAGGCACAGCGATGGAGGGTCACGTTGGAGGAACTCCAAGTCAGTGTTGCTGGATCAAAAAGAATATGGAGAGGAGTAAATCTTAAGAGGATTGAAAAAGTAGTAAAGGGCTAGGTTGTGAAGAGCTTTCAATGCTAAATAAAGGATTTTACATTTTATCCTTGAGGTAATAGAGAACCCCTGGATCTGGGGGAGGGGGAGGACATTGACACAAAGTCAGACCTAGGATTTAGTAAATGAGTAGAGAATGAATTAGAGAGGGGGGAGACAGGAGGATAAAACTGAGGTTATGAACCTGGGGGATGGTTACCTTTGGCAATAATAGGGAATTTTAGAGGAAGATAGAGTTTGAAGGCAGAGGATACTGAGTTCTGTTTTGGATATGTTGTGTTTGAGACACCTATGGAATATCCAGTTCAATATGCCCAAAAGGAGCATGTATGTCTGTAGATCAGGAGAAAGTCTAGGGCTGGATATATAGATCCAGGAATCATCTACAAAGAGATGATTATTGCACCCATGTGAACTGATGAGATCACCAAGGGAGACGGTATAGAGGGAAAAGAGGTCATGGGGACAGGCATGATTAGTGAGCAGGATATGAAGAGCCAACAAAGGGGAATGAGAACTAGCAGTTTAGAGGGGTAGGAGAGGAACCAGGACACAGCAGGGTGGTGAAAACCTAGAGAGCACAGAGTATGTAAGAGGGAAAGCGATTAACTACATCAGATGCTGCAGAGAGGCCAAGGGCACTCAGAAGGAACCCTCAGGTCTGGTAAGGAAAGACTCATTGGGAATGTATCATGCACACGATGTCTTCTTACATCCAATGTAATCTCCTTGAAGGCGGGACTGTTTGATTTTTGTGTTTGTTACTTCAGTGCCTAAACAGTTCCAGGCACGTAGTGGACTTTAAGAAATGTCTGATCGATACACAGAGATTAGAGAGATGGAGGGATAAATAGAAAGACAGGTACATAAGGGAGAGACAGAGAGAAATAGAAAGAGAGAGGAGAGAAGGAAGGAGGGAGAGAGAAAGAGAGAGAGAGAGAGAGAGAGAGAGAGAGAGAGAGAGAGAGAGAGAGAGTGAGAGAGAGAGAGACAGAGAGAGAGATGTAAATAAATGGACATAGATTGAAAGGCACAAAGACAGATAGTGATAGAGACAGACAGATGGTAGACAAAAATAGATAGATACAGATTATATAGAGACAGAAGGACTGACGTCGAGGCAGGTAAATGATAGACAGATGATGAAGATAGAGAAATAAACAGATCATTGATATATAGGAATAGACAGAAATCGATGGGGCTACCTAGACGGAGAGATAGCGGCACAATGAAGGGACAGATAGGTGGGCGAGTGGCAGGTAAGGGACAGCGAGAGCACCCCTGTTTAGCGCCCCCGGAGGACAATGGTCCAGCCACATACACACACACACACACACACACACACACACACACACACACACACTCCACCACCCCCTAGGCTGGGTGACCGCTATGCGATGGCGGGGTGGCGGCTCCGGCTGTGGGGGTGACGAAGCTGCAGCGACTCCTCCTAGAGGTGGTTAAGAGCAGGAGGAGGCGGAGGACCAGAAGTAGGAGCAGGAGCGGGAGCTGGAGCTGGAGGGAGCGGGTTTCTCCTTCTCCGCCTCCGCCTCCGCCTCCTCCGCCTCCCCGCCCCCCGTTAGTTAGGATCCCGGCCTGGTGAGCAAAGCCGCTGCCGCTGCCGCTGCCGCCGCCCGCCATTGGCACACACACGCGCGCACACACACACGCACACACACTCACACGCACACACACACACGCGCGCACTCACACACACACAGACGCGCGCATCCTTCGCCAACAAGAAAGAAAGGAGCGGAGCCGAGGAGCGCAGGACCGGGGCGCAGGACGGCGCTGGCCTTGGCCGCTGGCCCGCAGCCGGACGCGCGGACGGACTGAGAAGCGCAGCGGGGCCCAGCCGCCCGCGGCGGGGGCCAGGGCCGGGGCGCCCGAGCCCGAGGAGGAGGCGGCGAGGCGCAGGTGAGAGCCTCCTCAGGGTGCTGCAAGGGGCCGGGGTCCCCTTGGGCACCTCTCGCCCCCGCCTCCTACCTGTGGCCAGGGCTGGGGGGAGGGGGCAGAGGGGGACAGACAGGGCTGGGCCGGGGGCTGGAGCAGGACGGAGGGCGGCTGGAATGAGAACAAGGCTGAGGCCCGGGGGGGGGGGTGGCGCTGAGCGGAGTCGGGGCGCTAGGATGGAGACGCCCGAGGTGGGGGAGGGGAGAAGGGCGAGGGCTGGGGGTGGGGGGGGCGCCCCCTGCCCGGCCTGGCTGCGGCCCTGGCTCGGCTGGGCCCGCGGGATTCTCTGCAGAGCGGGCCAGGGCGAGATGCTGGGCGCGGGGGGCCGGGCTTCCAGCTGAAGGGGCCCCAGGTGAACGGAATAGGGGAGGAGGGTGAGGCACGGTCGTTCGGGTGACAGCACTTGGTGAACGCTAGAAGCGGGAGCCAGTCCTTGCCGCCCGCGGGGCCAGGCCGAAGAAGGGGGCGCCCGGGCCCCGAGGCTGACAATGGGGGCGCCGGAGGCAGCGGTGATGGATGCGCCGGCGGTGGCGGTGGCGGCGGAGCGGAGGCGGGCCGGGGCCGGGCCCCGAGGCCGGGAGAGCGCGCCGGGGGGCCGGGACCGGCTGCGGAGGAGGGGCTCCGACCTCCCCTTCGGGTTCCCTTTCCGGGGCGGCTCGGGTTCCCTGTGCTTGGAAATGGCGGGCCCTGCCGGGGGGCCAAGGCCAGCCTTTTGCGCGGGAAAAGGAGACGGGGGAGGGGGGGACATGGGAAAGGAGGAGGCGCCCGGCGAACTAGAACCCCCCCTGGCCTCCCGCTGAGACCCCAGATTGCTAGAGGAGGGGACGTGGGTGAGAAAAGGGGAGGCGCCTGGCAAGCGCGCGGACCCCGATGTTCCATACGTTCACGCCGCCCTCCCCTCCCCGCTGGCCACCCGCTGGGACCCAGAGGGCTGGGGCGGGAGGGGGGCGTACAGGAGGAGGAGGTGCCCAGCGAGCGCGCGAACCCCGGCTTTCCATCAGCTAGCCACCCCACCCCCAACCCGGCCACCCTCTGAGCCCCGGAGTACTGGGGGCGGGGTGGGGGGAGGGGAAGCATATGGCTAGTGCGCGGACCCCTGAGTTCCATATGCGCCCCCTCCCCAGGCTGGCCGCCCGATAGGACCCAGAGTTGTGCGAAGGGGAAGGAAGAGGTCGTCCTGACCTGCGGGCTCCGCCACTCCGTAGCATTGCCCAGGGCCTGCCAGACCTCATTCCGTGCTAGCCCTCCAAGCCGTGCCCCCTCACCAGCCTGGTGGAGGGGGCACTGAATCTGCAGTCAGGCAGATGTGGTTTCAAATCTCAATTATACCAATGAACTCTCCAAGTGACCGCAGGCAAGCCACTTCTCCTCTCCCGTACTTAAATTTCCCTATCGGTCAAATGGCAGAATTGGACTGGAAGCTCCCTGAGGTCCCTCCCAGAGTTGACATTATAAAATACCCCAGTAGAACACACTTATTCGTGTACATATTGTGCCCCACCCTTCCCCCGAGTAAGCCAGGGCTACTGATGCCCTTTTTGGTCGTTGCAACCCCAGGCCTAGCATAGTGCCCAGCTTTAACAAGTTCTTATTAAATGTTTATTGAATTGGCTCCCCCACCTTGTGGTACACCACTTGCCTTTCTTGCCTTTAGTCAATTCCTTCCCCTCAGGATAGAAACTCACAGATTATTAATAGCCCCGAGAGATCTCTGGGATTGTAGGATTTTAAAACTGGAAAGGACATTAGAGGTCACCTAGTCCCATCACCTCATTGTTACAGAACTGCTAGAGGTAAAAGGGGACCGTGGCCTTGGAGTCAGAAAAGCTGCCTTTGAATCCCTCCCTGCTAGGCTGCTTCCTATCTGTCCGACCATGGGCAAATCGCTTCCCCTCTACGGACTCCGATGCTCATCTAAATATGAGGAGGCTGGACCACAAGACCTCCGAAGTCTAGAACTCTAATCCTATGGACTTGTATTGTCCAAGATCTTGCCCAGCTCTGCCTCACTCAAATGGGGAGAATTTAGGGTCCAGAGAAGGAAAGGCCCTGGCTTTGGAAATAATATCTAGGATCTAGCTTTGATCAAGGGGGCATACAGAGAAACAGTATAGTGGAAAACCACTGGCAAGTCACTTCCCCTCTGCACCTCAGTTTCCTCCCTTTTAAAATATGGGGGTTAACTAGAGGCTTCTTGCTGCTCTAAGATTCCAAGAGCCTATTGATTATGCTTACTGGCAATGAGTTCAGTCAGGTGGGGTGTGGAGGGGCTCCTTCCAATCAGCACCTTCTTTCATGTGGATCACAAACCATGATGCAGAAGTGGATGGGTAGATTGGGAGTTCAGTCTGGAGAGCTACAGGAATTGTGAAGTGGGCAGAAGTTGAAACTCAACCAAGATTAGAAAAATTTAAAACATGCTTCCAGTTCTAAGGTCCAAATGCCTTTTTGGCAATACGCTTGGTATTAAACTCAAGCAAATAGCTTATGTTCTCTCAGCCTTACTTTCCTCATCTATAAAATGGAGCAATAGTATTACTATTAACCACCTCCCAGGGTCCTGCAAAGGGAGGGCTTTGTAAATGTTCAACAATTTCAGAAATGTGTTATCTGTCTTCATGGTTTCTTGCCTCTCAGACTATAAAAAAAAAAAAAGAAAGAAAGAAAGAAAGAAAGAAAGAAAGAAAGAAAGAAAGAAAGAGAAACTTGATGGGGTGGATTTAGAATGAATCCTGGAATATTAAAGCTGGTATAGAGACCTTTTTTTTAATGAGATGCAAATAAACTAACCTATGTAATTCTCATTATATAATTTTTGCTGAAATTGGCTTATCCCCCTTTGTTTAAAAAAAAAGCTTTTTTTGTATTGCAAAATGAATTTTCTGGCTTTCTAGATTTGCAAACCTGCTGTTCAATTGAGGGATACTATTGGAGTTTAAGATTAGATTCAAATGAGGAAACTGTTTAAGCTGAAACTACCACCTTGGAAGTTTACCTTAAATCAGGCTCCTAAGCACTTGATAGTATCTCTTTCATTATCCAGATTTCTTCTTTCTACACCTAACAAACTTTCTGTAGCTCCCCTGTCCTTCATCACTTCACCTGAATTCATTGAAACAACACTTTAGCAACTGTTCATGGTTTTATACCTACATATTTCAAAAGCTCCTTAATTCCATTATGGTCTAAGAAACATGACCTTAGCATTCAGCTACCCAATCAAATTTCCCAGGTTTACAAGGATTTTTTTTTTTTAGCTTTTCACAGTGGGCAAGGACCCTTTCATTTTCTAGAACAGCTATGTCTGTTTTCGCTGTCTCCTGCTAGCAAAGGATGTGAGTTAGTCCAATCTTAAGGAATTTTAACACAAATGAAATATGATGCGGTTCATGCAGAGAGTACAACAGCACTTAAAACTTCAAAAACCCTCTGGTAGTGTTTTCCCCTTGTATCCCAAGGATGTTTGAAATTCTCTACCTTTTTAGTGGAGTAAAATCTTGAACAAAGTGGTGACCATTCCTGAGTGGGTTCAGTGATTTATTCTAGGCCAATGAGAAGCCAACTTTTGGCCACAAGATCAAGTTCAGCCAATCTCTGGTGCTTCTCTGCAAAGACTGAAAAAAACAATTGGCTGTGTATGCTTGTCCACCATGATAAATCTTTGCTTCAGGCCACCTTTAGCTTCAGACTACTTAAGAGGACATTCCAGAAGACTGTTTGAAAAACATTGTTTTAAAGAATAATTTCAGGACTGAGAAAGATTCGGTCTCAATAAGTGTCTTGGAAAATTAGATATTGTCAGTAGAAGCTAGGAATGAGGAAAATCCCTAAATAAACCTGCAGTTGAGCAAAAACTCAGTGGTGCCTCTTCCACACTGTATAGAGAGTACTGGACCTATATTCAGAAAGAACTGAGTTCAAACCCAATCTCAGACACTTAATAGCTGTGTGATCCTGGGTGAGCCACTTCACCTCTGTTTTTCTCAATTTCCTCAGCCATAAAATAAGTATAATAGCACTTATATCACAGGGTGGTTGTGAGGGCAAAATAGGATAATATTTGTAAAGCGCTCTGCATACCATAAGCTCTATATAAATGCTAGATTTTGTTCCCTTCTAAGACCAATTCAGTTTAGATCCTCCCACGGTTTAGTTAAAAGGATGATATGTGGACAAGGAATTCGTCCATGTGTATGACTATGAATGCCTAGTTAAATTGGAGAGAAATGAGCAAATATAGAAGATGATAAGTTATAAGAGAGGGGTTGGAAGGATATCAATAAAGCAAGGGTCTTAATGAAAATTGTACCCAGAAGTGAGAACAGTGCATTGTAACAACTAGGGGAGAGGAATCTGGGCCTTTATTTTTCCTTCGATGTTCAAACAGGAATGTACAATTGGGTACTGAGAGGTAACAGACCTTGATTAAGGCTTTCTAAACCTTGAAGGGAAAAAAATGGTCCTGAAGCCAAATATACCTTTTGAGCAGAACTATTAGACTTAATGATTTCATTCGTTTGTACATTCAAAAAATATTTATTGAATACCTCCTGTATACACAGTGCTGTAGAGAAAATAAGAGTGGATATTGCCCAGAATTGGTTATGGATCTCAAATTAAAATAACTCTTCGACCTCCTGCTTCTGAAAGGGATTGCTTCTGTCTCCATCTAGCCAATATAGGTTTATACAAGGATAGCCTTACACAGAAGTGTGCTGAGGCCAACTCCTAATGAGACCCGGTTGTTTAATTTTCAATGTAAGCATTTACACCTTGAAAATCTGCAAAGGATACAAATCATTGCTTGACTGATTGTTTTGCTGATTGCCTAGACTTAAGAAAGTGATGGAGGGCAGCTAGGTGGGCAAGTTGCTTAACCCCAATTGCCAAAAAAAAAAAAAGAAAGAAAGTGATGGAGACAAAGTGGATCATGAAAATTAAAGTACAATTACGTGTATAAATTC